ACACTCACTGGTGGTCTTAAGTGTCCTTTAGTTTTGTATGATCCTTGTAATGAAGAACTATATGCATTACTAGAAGACTCAGATAATTTCCCTGCTGGTGCTTTTCGAGAATCTGAAATACTTAATATTCTACGAGGCTTGGGACTTAGAACTTCTGTGTCTCCAGATACTGTTTTAGAATGTGATCGATGCATCGAGCGTTTGATGCATGAGGATCAACAAAAGGCATACTTAAGAGGGAAAGTGCTTTTCTCTTACCTTGAAGTTAATGCACTAAAGTGGCTTCCTGATCAAGTTGTTGATAATAAAGGAGCAGTTAACAGAATATTATCACGAGCAACAACTGCTTTTAGGTCTAGCAACACAAAATCTGATCTTGAAAAATTCTGGATTGACCTAAGGCTGATTTCTTGGTGCCCAGTTCTAGTCACTAACCCTTTTCAGTCATTACCATGGCCAGTTGTCTCATCAATGGTTGCTCCTCCAAAACTTGTAAGGCCACTAAGTGATTTGTGGCTTGTCTCAGCTAGCATGCGGATATTGGACGTAGAATGCTCTTCCACAGCTTTATTATATGGTCTAGGATGGATGTCCCCACCTGGAGGAGGTGTAATTGCTGCACAGTTACTGGAGCTTGGGAAAAATAATGAGATTGTGTCTGATCAAGTTCTTAGGCAGGAATTAGCTCTGTCAATGCCGAGAATATATTCAATACTGACTGGAATGATGTCTTCAGATGAGATTGAGATTGTAAAAGCTGTTCTTGAAGGATGTCGATGGATTTGGGTGGGGGATGGATTTGCAACTTCTGAGGAAGTTGTCCTAGATGGTCCTCTTCATTTGGCTCCATATATTCGTGTTATCCCAATTGATTTGGCAGTTTTCAAAAAATTATTTCTTGAACTTGGTATTCGAGAATTCTTGCAACCTGCTGATTATGCTAATATTCTTCATAGGATGGCAGTTAGAAAGGGATCATCTCCTCTTGACACACAGGAGATAAGGGCCGTCACACTAATAGTGCATCATTTAGCTGAAGTTTACCATTATGAACAAAAAGTCCAGCTCTATCTGCCAGATGTGTCAGGTAGACTATTTCTTGCTAGTGACTTGGTTTATAATGATGCCCCCTGGTTGCTTGGCTCAGATGATTCCAATGGCTCATTTGGCAGTCCTCCAAATGTGGCTTGGAATGCAAAGAAAACAGTACAAAAATTTGTGCATGGAAACATTTCTAATGATGTAGCAGAAAAGCTTGGAGTTTGCTCTCTTCGTCGGATGTTGCTGGCAGAGAGCTCAGATTCAATGAATTTTGGCCTGTCTGGAGCTGCTGAGGCTTTTGGACAGCATGAGGCTTTGACTACAAGGCTCAAGCACATACTTGAAATGTATGCTGATGGACCTGGGACCCTATTTGAGCTGGTACAAAATGCAGAAGATGCTGGAGCTTCTGAAGTAATATTTCTTTTGGATAATTCTCACTATGGGACTTCTTCTATTCTTTCTCCTGAAATGGCTGATTGGCAAGGTCCTGCTCTATACTGTTTCAATGACTCAGTTTTTAGCCCCCAAGATCTTTATGCAATATCGCGTATTGGTCAAGAAAGTAAACTTGAGAAGGCTTTTGCAATTGGGAGATTTGGACTAGGATTTAATTGTGTCTATCACTTTACTGACATCCCTATGTTTGTTTCGGGAGAAAATATTGTAATGTTTGATCCCCATGCCAGTAATTTGCCTGGGATTTCTCCTTCACACCCTGGTTTACGAATTAAATTTGTGGGACGAAAGATTTTGGAGCAATTTCCTGACCAATTTTCCCCAATGCTACATTTTGGCTGTGATTTGCAACATCCTTTTCCTGGTACATTATTTCGATTCCCTCTTAGAAGTGCAGGTGTTGCCTCTCGGAGCCAAATCAAAAAGGAAATTTATACACCTGAAGATGTCAGATCTCTTTTTACTTCTTTTTCTGAGGTTGTTTCTGAAACATTACTTTTCCTGCGCAATGTGAAATCTATCTCTATTTTTGTGAAGGAAGGAACAATGAATGAAATGCACCTGCTGCACCGTGTATGCAGAACCTGTATAGGTGAGCCTGAAACTGGATCTGCTGAAGCCCAGGATGTGTTCAATTTCTTCAAGGAAAGTAGACGTGTTGGAATGAATAGAGTTCAGTTTCTGAAGAAACTAAGACTATCCATTGGCAGAGATTTGCCTTATAAATGCCAGAAGATCATAATTACTGAACAAAGCACATCATCTCGTACTTCACACTATTGGATAACCACAGAATGTTTAGGTGATGGGAATGCTCAAAAGAAAAGATCTGAAACAGCCAATAGTAGCTATTACAATTTTGTTCCATGGGCATGTGTTGCTGCATATTTGAATTCTGTCAAGGTTGAAATTGACATGGTTGAAAGTTCAAAGGGGGAGAATGATTGCACGGTTTCTCCTGATCTGTTTCAAAGTGTTAGTTTGCCTAATCATCAGTTGGAGAATTTTGAAGATCGTGCATTCTGCTTTTTACCTTTACCAATCAGTACTGGTCTTCCTGCTCATGTGAATGCATACTTTGAATTGTCATCAAATCGCAGGGATATCTGGTTTGGTTCTGATATGGCTGGAGGTGGAAGAAAACGCTCAGAGTGGAATATTTTCCTCCTTGAAAATGTTGTTGCCCCTGCATATGGTCGTTTGCTTGAGAAAATAGCATCAGAGATCGGCCCTTGCAATTTGTTCTTCTCGTTATGGCCAACAACATTAGGGTTAGAACCTTGGGCATCAGCAGTGCGGAAACTCTATCAATTTGTTGCTCAGTTTAATCTCCGTGTATTATATACAGAAGCTAGAGGAGGACAGTGGACTTCAACCAAACATGCTATATTTCCTGATTTTACTTTCCCCAAGGCAGCTGCTGAGCTTGTAAAAGCGTTGTCTGGGGCTTCTCTACCTGTCATTACTCTTCCACAGTCACTTTCTGAAAGGTTTATGGAAATCTCTTCGTCATTGCATTTTATGACTCCTAAGCTGTTAAGGACCCTTTTAATCAGAAGGAAGCGCGAATTCAAAGACAGGGATGCAATGATATTGACTCTTGAATATTGCTTACATGACTTGCAAAAATCCTTGCAGTTTGATGCCCTATGCGGCTTGCCTTTGTTACCAGTTGCAGATGGTTCCTTTACATCAATTGATATGAAGGGAGCTGGAGAAAGAGTTTACATTGCACGTGGTGATGAATACGGCCTTCTGAAAGATTATATTCCTCATCAACTTGTAGATTGTGATATTCCTGAAGAAGTTCATAGAAAACTTTGTTACATTGCCGAAACGGATGGAACAAACATTTCTTTCCTGTCATGCCAGTTGCTTGAGAAACTTCTTGTGAAGTTACTTCCTGTAGAGTGGCAACATGCTCGGCAAGTAAGTTGGACTCCTGGTATTCATGGCCAACCAAGTGTAGAGTGGTTGCAACTACTGTGGAACTATCTGAAATCATATTGTGATGATCTTATCATGTTTTCTAAGTGGCCTATATTGCCAGTTGGGGATGACTGCCTGATGCAGTTAGCACAAAAGTTGAATGTGATAAGAAATGATGGATGGAGTGAGAAGATGTCTTCTTTGTTAGTGAAGGTTGGATGTTTATTCTTGAGACATGATCTGTTATTGGATCACCCTAAATTGGACTGCTTTGTGCAGTCAGCAACAGCAAGAGGTGTACTAAATGTGTTTCTGGCTATTGCTTTGGAACCACATAAGATTGAGGGGATCTTTACAGATGTATCTGAAGGGGAGCTTCATGAACTAAGAAGTTTTATTCTCCAAACAAAATGGTTCTCCGAAGAGCAAATTGATGACATGCATATTGAAATCATCAAACAACTTCCAATATTTGAGTCTTACAAAAGCAGAAAACTGGTTAGTTTGAGTAGTGCTATTAAATGGCTTGGTCCTACTGGTGTTTGTGAAGATCTCTTAAATGATAATTTCTTAAGAACTGAATCAGAAACAGAGCGAGTCATTATGAAAAGGTATTTAGGAATGAAAGAACCAACTAAAGTGGAATTCTACAAGGATTACATTTTCAATCACATGTCAGAGTTCGTTTCAAGGCAAGAAATTGTTATGGCCATTCTGCATGACGTGCAGCATTTGGTTGAAGAGGATCTCTCTCTCAAGTCTTCAATCTCGTGTGCCCAATTTGTTCAGGCAGCAGATGGATCTTGGCAACAACCATCAAGGTAATATCCTATTTTTTAAAATAAAATTACAATATCTATCAATAAGTTATCTTCCTTTATTGTATTTTAAGGTGCATGCATTTTCTGTGATTTTTCTTCTAAATGGTCAGTACCAGAATAAATTTTTCTTCGGTTAACTGAACTGTGAGTGAAAAGAGAGAAAGAGAACTGAACACGAAATGAATTTTTATTATGTATTTTCACATCTGAAGGTATGAGTACAAGATGTATTTATAGGCACTGCTTACTAACAGCTATATAAGAACTAAAAGCCGTACAAAATAGCTTACAAATAAACCTATAGCTGTACAAAGAAAACTTACTATTAATACATCCACAAACTATACAAACTGACTTGCTTTGCTCCTAAGAAACACAAAACGAGTTGAAGACAGAGTCTTGGTTAGAACATTCACCTATTGATCAAGAGCTGGAATATGATAAATAATAGTTGCTTGGCCATAACCTTCTCTCTGACAAAGAAAACATCATCTCCATGTGCTTAGTTTGATTATGAAAAACTGGATTATGAGAACAGACAACACCTTGACTGTCACAAAAAGGAGTTGTAGTAAAAGGAAATTGCAGTTCAATAAGCAACGTAGTAATCCATGATAGCTCATCAGAAGTTTGTGCTAAACTTCTATATTTTGCTTATTGGAATGAACAATAACTTGCGGCTTGTGAGACTGCCAGGATATCAAATTAGAACCAAGAAAAGTTGTTGCTCCTGACATATCTTCTATCATCAATACCTAATGCCCAATTGGCATCACAAAAGGCTTTCAAAGATATAGAATGTCCCAGTGATAAAGATTGAAGGTGTAATTTATGAAACAATGTTCCTTTAAGGTACCTTAGAATGCGTTTAACTATAGCCGAATGAGAATCAAGTAGGTTAGCCATAACTAGCAAACATTGTTTACAACAAAACTAATTTCTTGCCAAGTAAGATTGACATATTGCAAAGTACCAACCACTGAATGATATGAAGTAAGATTTGAAAAAAGATCAGCACCATGTTTAGACAACTTGCAAATGAAGATCATAGGGTCTGAAATTGAATGAGATTCAAGCATATGTGTTTTATGAAACTAGTATCTTATATACTTTGTCTGTGTCATGAGAATAGAATAATCAGATAAATATTTGTTCTGAAGGCCAAGAAAATAGTTCAGTTGACCAAGTTTCAAGGAAAAAATTGTAGAAGTCTGGCTGTAATATTCTGAATGAGAATAACAGAGCTTCCAGTTATGATTGTATTATCAACATAAACCAAAAAGTAGACAACATCTGATTCCATTTGTAGATGAAGAGAGGTATCTCTAGTGCTATTAACAAAACCAAACTGATGAAGAGTAGTTTGTAAATGATTGAACCAAATTTTCGAGGCTTGTTTTAATTTATAGAGTGCTTTATTCAACATACAAACAAGAGATTTATCACTTGCTTTAAAACCATGTGGTTGTTGCACATAAATTGTTTTAACAAAATAACCATTCAAAAAGGCATTATTGACATCAAGTTGAAGCAATTGCCACCCATGAGAGAGAGCAATAATAAGAATAATTCTGATTGTAACAGGTTTTAGTTTTGGAGAAAAGGTTTCATGAAAATTAAAAACCATGGACTTGATGAAAACCTTTTGCTGCAAGATGAGCTTTATACTTATTTATTGAGCCATCTGCATTTTCCATGCTTGGAAAACCCAGTTACAACCAACAACCCTTCTATTAGAGGCTAAGGGTATCAGATCCCAAGTCTTTTGTTTCATTAGAGCATCATATTCTTGTAGTAATGCAACCAGCCAATTTCATCTTTAAGAGCTTGTTTGACACTGGTAGGATTAGAATGAGATAACAAGGATGGATGAACTCTGTTTTGAAAAATACCAGATTTAGGTTGAGTTTGCATAGGATGAGTATTAAGTAAAGGTGCAATAGGAGATACTAATTCAGAAGAAGATGAACTAACACTAGTAGACATAGAGGGTGTTGCACCAAAATTTGATGTGAGGGAAGTACTGGACACTGGATTTTCAGATGGTTGAGGTGGTGATAGATTTGAGTTTAAACTAAAATACTGGCTAAGACCTTTGATAGAGATTGGTGTAGAAGGAAAAAGATCAAAACAAGTTATGGATAGTTACTTGATATAATTGTAATTAGACATCAAAGCATCTGTAAATTGTTTCAAGTAATTTATGTAAATAAACACTGAATTTTCAGCTGCAGCTTTCTTGTACTGATGTTTTATCCTTGAATAGTTAAGCTTCTTGATTAAGTGTTTTACTTATATAAAAACTGACATTTGGATTGCTGACTAGAATGTTATTGCAGGCTTTATGATCCTCGGGTTCCTCACCTTAAAAAGATGCTTCATGGAAATGCTTTCTTTCCTTCAGACAAATTCTTTGATCCCGAAATTTTGGATGCTTTAGTTTGCCTTGGACTTAGGACAACTCTAGGATTTACTGGCTTGCTTGATTGTGCTAGGTCAGTTAGCCTCTTGCATAATTCTGGGAACATTGATGCCTCCAAACATGGTGGAGAGTTACTGCATCTTTTAGATACATTAGCCTATAAGCTCTCAAATAAAGTTGGAAGTAAGAATGATGATCAACAAGGTGGTGTGGCTCTGGAAAGTAGCAGCATAACGGATGATGCTTTTGTATATGATGGTTTCCCTAAAGAAGAGACCTACCTGACTGATATTGATTTATTTTGTAGCAGCTCAGCATTTGATATGGTAGAAGAAGAATTTTGGTCTGAATTGAAGCTAATCTCTTGGTGTCCAGTAATTTCTAATCCAGCTGTTATGGGACTTCCATGGTTAAAATCCAATAACCAAGTTGTTGCACCCCCTACTAGTGTGAGGCCTAAATCACAGATGTGGATGGTATCTTCCTCAATGTTTATTTTAGATGGTGAATGTGACACTACATATCTACAAACTAAACTTGGGTGGATGGATTGCCCAAATGTTGGGGTTTTAACAAGGCAGTTAGTTGAGCTATCTAAATCCTATCAGCAGCTTAAGATAAATTCACTGCTGGATCCCAGTTTTGAAGCTCAGTTGCAAAAGGAAATACCTTACCTTTACTCAAAATTGCAGAAATTTATTAATACTGAGGATATCAATAACCTGAAAGCAGGGTTGGATGGTGCTTCATGGGTTTGGATTGGTGATGATTTTGTATCACAAAATGCACTGGCATTTGATTCACCTGTAAAATTTACACCTTATTTGTATGTTGTTCCATCTGAACTATCAGAGTATAAAGATTTGTTGATAAAGCTGGGAGTTAGATTGAGTTTTGGTATTTCAGACTATCTTCAAGTATTACAAAGGTTGCAGAATGATGTGCACGGGGTTCCTCTGTCTACAGATCAGTTAAATTTTGTCCATTGTGTCCTTGAAGCCATAGTAGAGTGTTGCTTGGAGAAGCCACTTTTTGAGACTTTTGATAGTCCCTTGTTGATTCCTAATGATTTTGGAGTTTTAATGCAAGCAGGAGATCTTGTATATAATGATGCACCTTGGCTGGAAAACAGCTCCCTTATTGGTAGACATTTTGTGCATCCAGTTATAGGCAATGATTTGGCTGACAAGCTTGGTGTACAGTCAGTTCGATGCCTTTCTTTAGTCAGTGATGATTTGACTAAAGATCTACCCTGCATGGACTACAATAAAGTAAATGAACTTTTGGCGCTGTATGGAAACAATGAGTTTTTGTTGTTTGACCTTCTTGAGTTGGCAGATTGCTGCCAAGCCAAGAGATTACACCTGGTTTATGATAAAAGGGAACATCCTCGCCAATCCCTGCTGCAGCACAATTTAGGTAATTTTTAGATATGTTTTAGAAAATTTGGATATTTTTGTTTAGGTAATGTATAGTCATTTGTTTCAACAAAATGACTGTTATTTTTGTCGAGGAGGTCATGTGAGGAGGAATGATACACTGGCTAACAAGAGTAGTCAATAATTTTGGTTTTCTATAGTGGAGAGATAATGGGCTGCTGCCCTTCCAGCCCACCATGCCTAGTGAGTCAACCTACTTGAACCATAAATTTTTATAAAGGA